TATAAAGTCTGTAGTGAATGGGTGAGGTAGAAACCTGTCTATAAAGTCTGTAGTACTAGTGAATTGGTGAGGTCGAAACCTGTCTATAAAGTCTGTAGTGAATGGGTGAGGTCGAAACCTGTGTATAAAGTCTGTAGTGAATGGGTGAGGTCTAAACCTGTCTATAAAGTCTGTAGTCAATGGGTGAGCTAAAAACCTGTCTGTAAAGTCTGCAGTTATTGGGTGAGCTCAAATCCTGCCTGTAAACTAGAAAATTGCTCGAGAATTGTCCGTCCGGGAACAGTGTCTGGGAACACGTTACAAATGAGTAATACATGTATTGGTATTATTCTGTAACAGTAGAGGGAAAACGCACGGCCAGACCGGGGTTCCCGGGACCTTCCAAACTCTGGACGGATGCTCTACCAATTGAGCTACCTGGTCGCCGACGATCGACCCAGTCCAGTTCCGCTACATTCCTCGAGCTCCCTCCCTTTTTTAAATCTTCGCCCCGAAGATACAACTATCTTTAACCCAGGTTCGGGTATCCCCTTGTCAAGCATACACCAAATGCTTGAAACAAGGGTTGGTCACAGGCACCACTGTAACAGGAGAGGAAAAATACACGGCCAGACCGGGGTTCAAACCCGGGACCCTCCGAACTCTAGACGGATGCTCTACTAATTGAGCTACCTGGCCCCGGAATCTCGAAACTTCTTAAACCCATTCTTAGTGCTTAACTTTAAGCATATGCTTAACTTTAAGCATATACTTAAAAAGTGTATCTCAAAGGTTCTTAAACCATTCTCAATTTTTAACTTTAAGCATATACTTTAAAAAAAGTGTATCTCAAAGGTTCTTAAGTATGCATTCTCAAATTTTAAGTTGAGAACGGGCTCAATATTTGAGAATGGTAAGGAGCATGCTTAAATATTTAAGAACGTGCTTAAATACACAAAATGGCCAACTGTAATTGTCTGATAAGTCATGAAATTCAGCCGCTAGAAATGAGAAAGGAGACGAAAGGCACAGTGTTTATCGTTATTTTTCATTTATTTATTTATTTATTTATTCATATTTAGCCAACACTTTGGATATAATTAGAAAACCAGCATTTGGGGCAATTCAATACAGTCTTCTATCACAGGGTGTCCATAAAATCAGACATTGGCAAATAACTAATATGGCCTATTTGGTTATGGGGAAAAGGAAATTTTTACCAGAGGATTTGGGGCAGGTTCTGACCCCACCCGAGTTTAAAATTTTCATATCGCGAATACATGCATAATGATAGACACCTTTCCTCAAATATTTTTTACCCAGGAAATATTTCTTAAAGAAAATGTTGTAAATACAACAATTAATGTCATAGCATTTCTTATTACATTAACAATCTCGTTACAACCTGTTAATCTCGTTCCACGCATTTAAAACTAGGTCATTGCTTTGTTAACGAGAGAAGTATAACATATAATGTAGTTATTGTTGTTAATTGTTTGATTACCGAACTGGCTGATTAACCAGTTACTCGGTCAGAAGATTTTTCAAGTAACCGGTTTATTAAATTGAGCTATGGTGGGTTGCTATGCCTATTATCCAAATCTATGACCCGCTATAGTGCGCGCGCCAACCGTGCACTATTATGACGCGTACTCTCTATCGGAATCTCGTATCTAAGAATAGATCATTGTAAACAGACGAATTTAAGGTCATGGCTATTAATACATGCGTTTCACGATAAACACTCAACAAAATGATTATTTCGCGTTATGCTGTATAAAACACAAGATCGTACAATCATTACCAAGTTTCAAAGGGATTTCTATTCTCATTGCTATTGTCTACATCATGACGTTACATGTTTTCTTAAAAAGCACGCATATTGAATTTGTTCTTCCTGTACCTTGGAATGGTAAAATTACATATAGTTTTCGAATAGCATATTTTGTATTTCGGCATCATTTGTTTGTGTTTAGATAATAAATAAAAATACTAGTGTCAATTGGAGGGTAAAACAATTCATAAAACAAAGCGTAGCTGTACTGTACACGCGTACAGGGATTTGTTGACATGATCCCATAAAAGATAAATCAATAGGTATGTTATTAAAATATCAATAAAATGTTCCATTGATTGAAAACTATTTTTCAGGGAAAATGATTACTTGCCTAAATATTAAAAAAGAAAGATGAAAAAAAGAGTATCTGAATGTGAATTCGAACCTACACCGTTCATATTTCTGGTCACAAGCTAACTGCGTTACACATGAGGCTACATGTACACCGGACATAGACGAACATGGAAATACAAACTCCTTTAACCCAAGAAACATCTGTTGCATATTACATCACGGAATCAAAAAGTTTATTCAAAAGTTGGTCCTCGGATGGGAAAGTATTAAAAGTATTTTTTTAAGTCGGAGAAACCCCGTCACTTTCAATGATATAGTGAATATGGCTATATTTGCAGTATTATATTAACAATACCGAATATCTCAACAGTTCAAAAATTAATATTCAATTGGTTTTATATCTATCCATGCATTTTCGCTACAAAAAAATATTTACTCATCAATATTTTTTTTCGTTTTCAAAAATGCCGACTTAGGGAAATACGGGCAGTTTTCCGCCATACCTCTTTGTCCGGTTTGACAACTCTAATTTTAACATTATAGTGAACACGTTAAAATGAGTTTTTTTCTTCAAATTTAACCCAATAGGCTTCTGTACCAGACATTTTCATTTAAAGTGTGGAACCTTTTTTTTTATCCCATCCCGCGGGGAGTGGCTTAATGGGTAAGGGGGTGTTTTGTTCCGTGCGTACATATTTATCACCTTTATTCATCGCTCTATTGCATTCATATCTGAATGTATATGAAGCTGTACCTTTGTATAGAAAAGTTTCCAGTCATGGTTCTAATGAATCGTCATAAATAAATAAATGTATTCAGTTTAGGATAATTATTCAATATTTTCTTTTAATATCTAACATTCAATAATATGTCTGTCATAACAACAAAAATGGTGTGATCTGTTTTTTAATATTCAATTTAGCTTGAAAACTTAATTATGGTTTTCAATGCACTGCAAAAGAAGTTCGGGATTATCTATCCTAGTTAATTCCCGAAGTATTTCATACACTGATATTACTTTTTTTCATTAAAGAGTTCCAAATAAGGCCCCTTATGTATCAACAAACACATTCTTAATTAAGTACGTTCTCAAATGTTTAAGAACGCCTTCGAGATACACCAATTTGAGACATTCTCAGCTAAGTACGTACTAAGCTTAAGAACGGAGAGTTAAGAATTAAGAATTAAGAAGTTTCGAGATTCCGGGGCCTGGTCGCCGACGATCGACCCAGTCCAGTTCCGCTACAATGCACTATTTATACTAGAAATATTTACCATACCCTGTACATGATATGGTATTGCTTCACATACGCAATTTGATTGAAATATGTCCAGTGGTCAAAAAAGGACAAACAACAGACGGCAACAGGAAATGAATTGTAATTTCTCACTTGAACCCAAGGGGTTCGTTTGTTATACATACTAATGTAAATTACATTCAGATAGCATGTATTATGACGTATTAGTTGCAGGGTGTAATAGATATAAATGATACGGATTAGTGAACAGGTGCTAATTTGTGCTAAAATTTTGCCTTTTGAAATTTTGCCGATATTGTCATTGTCAAAAATATAACGTACACCCGAAAATAGACCGCCACTCAGGTAAAATAGCCTTTAACACCGTTACGTACCTAATGTTGTATATACACATGTACCAAATGCTCAATCTAGAACCGTCGCGCTTACCGTTAACAAGTCTTCGTTTACGGAAAGTGCCGACGGTTCCCGATTGACCAATGGCTTAGTCAGAAATCCTCTATATCATTATACACGCGTAGCGAAAATCCACTCGGTGACGTCATAGACTGGTTCCATACAGCCGCAGCTCCCTAATGTGCTATTGTAAACACTGTCTCTATAGATTTTAGTGACGTATGATGGAGAAAAAAAATTCATTCACGTGACATATCTGGTGATTTTTGTTTTGAAATGCGGTTTTTCATAGGTTCTATAAATATACCTGAATTTCTAATCAGAGCAGTAAAAAAGGGTTGTTATTTACCGACTCGCAAGTGAGACACGCTCCCCTGACCCCACACATACAAAACGGAATATGACGCGAAAGGCACGTAATTTAATAAGTTTGGCCTTGGACAAATGGTGAGTCTTTGCTTCAAATTTTATCGCCACGAAAAGAGCTATAAACGTATTTTCACCTTTAGCTGGTGTCTATGTGCTACATCGCGTGTGGTACGAGTTTATTGACAAATGTATTTAATTGTAGAATGACAAATATAAGTTGAAATACCTTGGTTCATAATTGTTGTGAAATAAATCAAATTCATGTTTTAAATGGTAGAGTTGGCAGTAACAAATATTTAGGTAAGCTAACGTGTAAAAGTACTTGCGTAGTAATTTATGTTATGTGCTCGAGTATTGCGCATCAGGGAACACGTCACAAATTAATAATACAAACGTTTGTATTGTAAATCATTGATACTGGATGTTTTTATCATTCCCTATCTCATGATGTGGCATTGCTTCCTGCAAAATTTGATTGAAATATGTCCAATGGTAAAAAGAACGAACAACTGACGACGACAGGAAACGAATTGTAATATCTCACTTTAACCAGAGACATATGTAGTATATACGTCTCGGATTTAACCCACGGGGTTTGTTTGTTATAATACTGATATAAATTACAAAGACATTCAGATGTCATGTTTTATGACGTATTAGTTGCACGGTGTAGTAGATATAAATGATACGGACTTTCAAGACTGTTATTTACACGAAAGTCCTCAAAATATGGGTAAAATGTTGCATTATGAAATTTTATAAGAAACATGATGTACACCTGGAAATAAACCACCACTCGGGTAAAATGGCCTTTAACAATGTTATGTACAAAAAGAATGTTTTATACATACCAAATGCTTAGTAAGAAATCCCTGAATCCCCTACAGTCATAGCTCTCTAGTGGCTTTATACACGGGTAGCTATAGTCCACACGGTGACGTCGTCAACAGATTATCTAGTCATAGCTCCCTAATGTCTTTATACACGGGTAGCTATAGTCCACACGGTGA